AGAAACCAACGCATGACAGTTAAGTGAGTTTTTAAATGTCCCCTAAACCTGACCTTGAACTCTTCACTCTGGCCGGGAGGAGCTCCGTATAAGAGCTATCTGCGGTCAAATCGTTTAGTTATTTTATATAAATAAAAAATATGATTATATTTTTTTGATCGAAATTGCATTAAGACGAAAATTGGCCTTATGGGCCCTTTTCCTTTCATTTTATGTTTATGATGTTATTCTGCATCGTTCTAAACCAAAAAACTTAGTTCCTTTTCGTGCTCTCTTTCACCAAAGAACTATTACATCAAATCTAGTAATAGATAAGCTTCGTTTCAGCCTTTTTGGCAAACATCTATAGAATGTGATTCTCGAATTTTAGGGCCCTAAAAAATCCTTTAATCTAAATGCGAGCAATGTATGTTTAATCATTCATACCACATTGATTTCTCCATCAAAAAAACATACATGTCTAAATTAGTCAGACTTCCTTGAGGTTCTTGACTTTATCACTTAATGCTTGATCAGAGTTAGGAAGGATACATTTATTTCATGCCTTGATGAATATGTTAAACAGGTAAGTCTATCGTCACCAGAAGCTCATATTCCACGTGTTTCAATCATATCAGCACAACAAAACAGATACAGTCGAAGTGTCATCAAAAGTAGGCTTGAAAGTGGATAAACAGTACGAGACCAGAAGCACGATTCTAACCGAATTTCGGTCTATAGAAATCAGAATCAGATGTCAAAACTATCATGGCGGATCATATATGACGACAAGGCGAGATCGAACCGAAATTCAGTTAGAATCAGGCTCCAGGAATTAGATGTAGTATCCCCATATTCTAGGTCACAAAACATCATTTTTTGTTATTTTTAAGGCTACGTAACTGAGCAAGTAAAAGTTAAATGCAAAATCCGCATATATCGGGTGTTTCATTGGAAGATATTTCAACCGTGGATAGAGACTACTCAGGTAATTATAAATCGCCTAAGCTTGACAGGTCTGTATCCTCTCATAACAGAGATGCACTGAATTTTATCGATTTTGGGTATTTCTTTATGGCTTCACGACTTTACAACTAACGTGTATAGCTTTTTCAAAACAGGTATGCCTACCCAGCTTGTTCTATTGAATAGAACCTTAAAGAAATACAGGTCAAGACTCATTCAAAGTTTACAAACTCGTTCTACCCAAAAATAATCAGCCGTTCAGCCTGTCGGATGCTTACCATCGAGCCAATGTTGCCATTTACACTGCCTGTGATGTTCCGCCTGTATAATAATCTTGTGGAATTTTGATCAGATCCAAGCTGTTGTTTCAAAGCACGACATGTTTCAACTCGGTGTTCTTTTTGATTGTCAGTCAGAGCCTGATGAACAAACTTGGCAGCAACCCTTTTCATTCCCAAATCTTCTATTAAAATTCGTTGAACCGAACTCCAGGACAACATACTATTTACGGATAGTTGATCGATTGTCAGTCGACGGTCTGCAAGCACAAGCTCTCGAATTTTTTCAACATTTTCGTCCAGAGCGAGGTTTGTCATCAATCGACATGTCGCCATTTTAAATTGAGCAAACCACTCGTACTCCTGAGTTTTTCCAATAGCATCATCTTTGTAAGCTATTTTCAACATTTAAAGCTGCACGTTGCTCACTGAAGCTTATTATTTTTGGGTACCTCCTCGTATATGACGGCAAATAGATAATTTTTAATGTGTTCGGGTGTATTGATATATAGGTAGGGTTAACACCTAACGATGGTTTCCGTCGTTATCAATAAACCCAATGTGTCCGTCCTTTTCGTTTTATATTTGTTACAAGTGCTCTCATCCACGCTTTCGTTTGGAAACACCATTAGGCTGCAACCTCAGCGACGAGTAAGTTGTCTGATAATTTAAACCTTTCCCGTATTGGTTGCTGGCTTCATATTTATGTTTTCAGCTCCTGAGGATGACTCCATAGAGACGCCGAAAGCTCGAGATTACCGTTAAATGAGTTTACTAAAGCCTAAAAAATTTTGACAATTTCCCAATTAACAACTGATTGTATTTTTTGCCCAACTGGTCGTTGGCAATGGCAATGACCACTGCTCGTATATATATATATAACCGTCTGCTTGAATAACAAAAGTGTGTATCTGTGCTCTTCCACATATGCTAACAAAATTCAGAAATTTCAATATACAGCTTGTTGTTTTTGTGCAAAGCAGTTTTGTCAAATTTTAACTAATTCTGGCCTGTACTTGTTTTCCTTTTCATATCGTTGTCGATTCAATAGCATAAGCTGAGTCCACGTACTGCGTTTCAGAAAACTATAACGGCGTGTTACAAAGATGTGAGGTCATAAAGAAATCGCTAGAATTTCGAGAAGCCACTGAAATAAAATTTTGGATATACGATACACTACTGTTGAAAAAACAGAAAAAGTTCAACAAACTTAGACTATATTAAAAGTTTGCCCTCAAATGTATACCTGTCCTTAAGGCTTGATTTATGATATACCTTTTACTTGATCAGTTTTATAACCTCAAAAATTTCTTTTTTATTCTTGTCGGGCACGAAAACTTATTGTGATATAATCAGCGTACCAAAATCCTTCGCAGACACAGTCTGGTCTCAGGTTTCGAATATGTTGGCCTGTATACCGTGGTTTCAAATTTGACTCTCACCATAGGGATGTCTGAAGCGGTAAGAGATACGGAGTCGGTTAAATAGGGGTAAAGTCGGGCATTCAGATAACTAAGAAACTGGCGGCTGGAAGCTAATCTCGGAATTTTCCAAAATGGTTTTGATTCTTTTCCGCAGCAAGCACAAGGTAATGCTATACCTTTCATATAATTTAATGGTACTAAGGGGAACATTGAAAACATTATAATTTCTTAGTAGTTTCTGCTTGTGCATACCTCTCATATCTAAACCGATGCGTACCTCTTGCATTTAAATAAAACACATGATTCCGCGGCCATGATATCTAGGGAGGCTCCTTGATGCTAAAATAACGCTACTTATATTCGATGAATGAGCAAATTATCTGAATCAAAGCAAACTATAAAAATGTTAGTTTATTAGAAATAGCTAGACTCTGTTTATGTGTGCAGAAATCCAATACGGCGTCCATAAGAAAAAATAACATTGATGGTTGATCAAGAAAAATTCTAATACCACCTTACAATGGTGAAAAAATCTTTGTTTTTTGTCTGCGGAAGTACTCTAAACTTTTAAGCTTTATAAGTGCCGTTTTCTCAGTCACTTAAATCCCAAACTTTGCGTATGACTACATACTCGTATATGTCACCGCTTCCAACATACCCATAGTGAGAGTCAAATTTGGAATACACAATGTGCAAAAATCCAGTATCTTGTATTAATGTTTCCTGGTGTACCTGTACCCCGTCCAATAGAAAAGTACCCAATATTTCCTTTATGCTGGAAAGTAACGAGTGTTATATATGAAAAGTCATTCGTGGGTAATACTTTCCTTGCTTTCAAATCTTACCTAGATCATCCTTAGCATGATGTAACGACTATGAATCATTATTTTGGCATATAAAAAATTAATACTTTTCCGGAAGGTGCCAAGAGATAAAACTGAAAATTGTCAGTTTAAAACATCGGACGTAGTTGCAAACTTGGAGGGCATAGTATATATACTCTATAATCATTCTTTCTTTTTCTAAATTCAAATCGACATTTTTGAAAAACAATTCAAATACCGATCTACCTTATCGAATATGACATACGGAAATGAGACTAAAAATCTCAGAAAAATTGAAACTTCCTAACTGCATTTCGACAAAAGCAATCGTATACCGTTTCATCCTCCCGAGGAATCATCAGAGCGGTATACGTGGGGCAACGAACGAGAATAGAGTAACTAGTCTCTGTCAGAGATATACAGGGTGATCCAAAAGTCTTGGAACGGCAAGATATTTAAGAATAATCAGTAACGGATAACTTTCAGAACATTTGAGAATAGTAAAGGTAAAATAGTGAAGTTTTAGATTTTTTCTGGCTGCTCAGTGGTGACCTTGAATTTGAACTTGAGCATGACCTTGGCGGTTAAGTAAACACTATTTTTCAATATAACTCCATACTTTTGACCTCGGACACGGATAGAGCAGACAACTTCACGTCCAAATATGACCTTGGGGAAACATTATTTTGACCTTCAACGTCCTGGTGTCGATTATAAACCCTCTTTCGAGAAAAATTCAAGCATCTTTTTATACATACAGCATAAATAAGAACCCAAATTTAGCAGGAGCTTCAATTAGCTTTGAAACTGAGCTCTACTATGAATTCACTGTCAACTCAACTTTAGTGGTACTCTATTTTTGATCCCGGAAATCGATATAAATGAAAATTTCACGTTTAGCTGAGACCTTAACTAAAAATTATTTTAATCCTGAAAGTCTTTGTCAAGGTCGTGTATCTAAAGGTAGAACAAAAATAAGAATTGAAAAACAACATATGCTGCAATTTTCCTGGTGAAATCAGGGTCTAGACAGTTCTTTGCATGGTACTCTATACGTTTGTTTAGGGAAATATAGCGGAAAATCTTACTTTTAGACATGACCATGGCCGTTTAAGGTTAAAATAGCTTTTCTCCAAGGTCATATCCAAGCGTAAGAGTTTCCGTTCTATTCACTTCCGGGGTCAAAAGAAGAGGGCCTCGCTTAAAAAATAGGCCATACCCTGACTTGATCTTCAAGGTCATGCTGAAAAAAATTCATAATAACCACTAAAAATCTAGAACCACTAGAATTTTATTTCTACCATTTCTCTTGAATATTGCCAAATATCTTGCCATTTTGGGACTTTTGTATCACCCTATAGTGATGATGGAAATAAATATGAGGAGGGTCGATGCATTTTTAATGGAACCTAGCTTCTGGAGACAAATAGTGAACGAGTGATATGTGTCTGTAAAGATATTCAGTCTAAAGCGATATTCAAGTTGTGCACATAGCGACAATCCAAAAGACAATGCATAACACATGTTACCTGTTGTACATGAGCACGTCTGGCTTCCATAATTTGTTCGGTGTGATCCGCAAGTCCTTAACACCTCCGTAGTCAGATTCGTTCCAACGCAGATTGTAGTCATTCCATTCCTGGAACAGTGTGGATCAGTCGAGAGCAGAGTACAATTTTTTTCATTGTAGATCAGGCTGTTTTTGGAAAAACTATAGAAAAAATGCTATTGCATGGCTCAGTCTAAAGATAGATTAGACACTATTGTCAAGTTGACGTCGGATTCGGTATTTGCGCACCCGATCCACCCAAAAAAAGAATTTTCGTCCAGATTACAAATTATTTTCATGAAAAACGTTCAAATATTATGTGGCTTCCATTTTCGTGTCCCGTTATCACAAGCAGGTCCAGGAATTTGAGTTTAGAAGGGCATACTTATATGACTATTTCCAAAATGCTGAGTTTTGAAAAATAGTGCAAAACACGTTGTTTGTCCCTAAAAGAGCTTGAAAACAGCGTAAGCATGCCTTTTCAACAAAAGTACCTGATATTCTACTAAATATACAAGTATTAGTTTATTTTTCAGTATTTTAGAAGCACCGTGATTCAAAAAATGTGTGAGGAAAGATGATGAAAAAAAAATGAATCTCACCAGGAAAATCGTCAGTCTTATTTTCCAGTTTTTGAGAGGCAAAGTAACATCTATTTCGATATATTTTGAGACCCATCAAAAAATAAATATTTATTCATATCTCTCCATACGATACAAAATGACTAAAAATGTCTAGATGCAATCGCAAAAAGAGGAAGCATGTTGAAATGACAGACTTTCTATGTCCGGAGCTGCAATTGATATCCTGGACTTAGAAGCCAAAGTTTGGAGTCCTAACAAATACTAAAAGCGAAGGTCGAATTCCACATGGGAATTCTCTGCTTTTCAAATTTTTGGTAGATAATCTACAGATCAGGCAATATTAACATAAACATATTGAACCTGATTGCTGCGAATAGCCCCCCCCCTTTTTTTATCACTCAGTCTATATTATTTGGCCAGTTTCGCAAGCATATTCTACCCTTTGCCTTAAAATTTGAGGTAAGAAATCGATTGCATAGGTTCTGGCGCGAAATTGACATTGGATTTGGAATGTATGCATCCGATTCACCCAGGAAACTAGTTATCGATCAGATCACCGCTGCTTTTGGTAACTTTCCCGTAATCAAAATATAAGACTTGGTGAAATTTAAAGAGGTTCACCGAAATAGGACTTTTTTGAGCGATTATTTGCAAATTCATAATATGGACCTCAAAATCATGCCCCAGATCCGCCCCTAGTCATAATCACACAGATTTAGTACACGATATAGATCCTAGCGCCAAATTGATATTAGAATCCGAATCTCCGCTCTCGATTTTCCTAATACACGAGTATACCACCAAATTATCGATACAAATACAAAATTTACATTTCAGTCTCCCGTTATTTCAATCGGATGAAACTCACTACTAAATTCGTCATTATCAAAGCTATCAATAGCTATTTTTTCTAATACGGTTTTACCCAAAATACTACAGACTGATCTAACTCAAAATATTCTTATTTTATTTTAGATACAGACTACAAAGCGACATTGGGATTCAATAGCAAACCGTTACTTGTTTCTTTAATTTATTTTTCCTCAGTATAACAACATATTACTAGACCTTAAAATCATTTGATTGACAAAATTTTAATCGAATACATACATGCTGCATTATTGTATAGCCCCTCAAAAAATTCAAAATGAATTAAATTGAGGTTTCTGCTTTGTAGTCTACAGTAAATTAGAGTGGAGTGAGAATTTAACTTTTTTCAGTAGCTACAAATCTGAAGAAATCAAGATGATTTTTTAAACTTACTTAGAGAGTGTCAAAACAAGATTTTTGAGTTTGAGACAATAACAGCAACTATAAAATTATCACTCCAATGTAACGATGTAAAAATGTTTTTAAAGCTCCAACCTTCCGTAATTGTTTTTTAAAATGAATTCATGTCTGTTTTATATCAAATAGGTCGGTTGAAGCTTGAACATCAATAAGATAAAGTGATAGCATTGAATAAACCATGAAGCATGCTAAGCAGATGCCAAGATAACACACATGCTTTTATCCACATCTAGAACCACGGTGTCCTTAGTTGAACATTGTTGTAGTTTGAGTATCGTTATTTTAATCGAAGGTAATCCTCATTCCGCGTTTTAAGTAAATTATGAATTACTCTTTTCACCGTGTTTCTGAAATAAAAAAATTCTCATGCCAAAGCAGCGAATGAATGACATGCAGGAAGGTCTTGTTTCGGTAAAATTAATTTTATCAGTCTCATTAACGTAGGTTTTAAGTGCTAGTTTATTCTAAGTGTTTAGAAGACATATTTTAGGGTGCTTGGGATCGGTTAGGTATCGGGAACTGGCACCGAGTGAGGTTTCACATAATAAGATAATTTTCTCATGTTTTGTTGTTAGTATTACCTTTCGGTACAGAATGCGTGAGGAAAATTTAATGGTTGTGTCATTTTAAAAGCTTCGTATGAAGATGGGTGCGGAATACTCATTTCGATGTAACAGCTCATGTTTGTATGGCCGAATCAATGAAGAGGGATCTAAACACATATAAAGGGTGTCTCAATAAGAGCGCCGAATTTGATTTTCAAGAAAAACACAATTACTTTTTGAATTAAGCGAGTCTTTATATTTCAACCTGAAGAGGAATAGTTGCGATTTAACATGAAATAGGACATCCGGTAAATGACCACCACGAAACCTCTGGCACAGGGTCAGTCTTTTCTTAAAATTCTGGATAATGTCCTCGCACAACTGTGGCTCTATTTCGTCGTTAATGCTCCGTATCTCTTATTTAAGGCGTTCAACTGTTTGTGGCTTGTTCACATACACCTTTTCCTTCACATAGCCCCAGAGAAAGTCCATTGGCGTTAGATCGCACGATCTTGGTGGCCAATTTTGATCGCCAAACCGAGAGATGACACGGTCTGGAAACTTGGTCCGCAGAAACACCATTGTTTCGCGTGCTGTGTGGCAGGTCGCACCGTCTTGTAGGATGAACATATCCTCCACATCAATTCGATCCAACTGGGGCCACAAAAACTCGGTTAACATTTCGCGATATCGTACACCATTGACAGTTACTGCAGTTCCAGCTGCGTTTTCGAAGAAATATGGTCCAATCACTCCGCCACTCCACAATGCGCACCAAGCAGTAACTCGAGGCGGATGCATTGGTTGTTCGGGTTTTCAGAACCCCAAATTCGGCAGTTGTATTCGTTGTCGTACCAATTTGGTGGTGCTCCCGCGCCCAATCAACGAGTTCTCGGCGCTGCGCATGGTCCGTTGGCTCGAGTTCTTGCGTCAGTTGAACCTTGTACGCATGCAAGCACAGATCTTTTGTCAAAATTCGTTGCAGATTGGGTCTGGTAAGGTTCAATTCTTGGCCACGATGTCGAATGGAAGTGCCTGGATTCTCGGCCACACTGTCCCGCATTGCGACTATATTTTCGAGGAACCGATCAGGACGGCAACGAACAGTGGTCTTCACGTGCAGCAACATGAAATTTGTCTCAAATTTTGTAATTAAACGGCGAACTGTCGACTCATTTGGCGCATTATTGCGACCGAAAATTATACGTAATTTGCAAACTGCTTCCGCGTAATTTTCTCCAGTTTTCACAATAATTAAACGTTGCTCGTTTGAATACTGCTCCATGACATCTAATCGCCTGGCCTGGACGTGACAGCTGTCATCAAGTAAACACCATAGCATTTGTACAAAAAAATTGCGGCAAATTCAAATCCGGCGCTCTTGTTGAGACATCTTTTGTGTGGCTTGTGGACAAATATGAGAAACTTATCTCAATATCTTAACTATTATGATGAGAAATTCAAGCACCGGACACAATAAAAATAGAGCATTTCCTTTTTCTCACAATATGCAATTACACCTCCTTTCATAGAAAATAGTAGATACTTTAGGTCACTTTTCACTTTTTATATTTGGAAATCAAAAGCCTTGGTGTGCGTTAAAGTTTTGTCAAACATTACAGTTATTTTTAAAATTATCCCTCTCCACCTACTCATTTTTTTAATGGCAAAGGAGGTCATGTGACACCTCATTTCGATGTTCCTTATAGTTGCTTTTTAACTTTAGAACACAAAATCACTATCTTTCAAAATGAAGGCTGTCAAATTTGAGCATGTTTGTATTGAATTTCTTGTAATCCAACGACCAAACATGAACGCAAATATATAGTAAAGTATGGAATATTTCACATGCCAAAATCAGTCAATATTTTTCAAAGTGAATTTCTCATATCTTATTACATAATCACATTTTGAAGGATGGTAAATATATATATAAAGCGAAAATGATCATGCGGAGAAATGTATACCTATAACAAAAAGTAGGAAAACAATGGGCAAAATCCGCAAAAAGGAGGAAAGTGGATTCGAGCAGAAAATAGGATAGGTAACCCGAGCGATACGTATTTATGCTGGTTGGCTTCATTAGGCCCAAAATGAATCCACATATGCAACTACATAAGTAGTTACACATGTCCACACATCCCGATACGGGTGTAACCTGAGGAAACGAAGATGGAGAGGAGAAAAACAACAAGATCCAACCTACACATTGTAGTATAGTAGATACATATGCCCGGATGTGTGGGCATGTGTATCTACTTTTGTAGTTGCATAGGAGCACTGATTTCGGGCCTGATGAAGCCAAACAGCAGAAATACGTATCGCTCGGGTTACCTATGATATTTTCTGCTCGAATCCACTTTCCTTCTTTTTGCGGATTTTACCCATTATTTTCCTACTTTTTGATATATATATATATATATATATATATATATATATATATATATATATATATATATAATGTATTGTTAATTGGGAAATTTTCAATTTTTTTTTAGGCTTTAATAAACTCTTTTAACGGTAATCTCGAGCTTTCGGCTTCTCTATGGAGCCATCTTCAGGAGCTGAAAACACAGATATGAAGCTAGCAACCATTAATTAATGTGTTCGGGTATATTGATATATAGGCTTAACACCTAACGATGGTTTCCTTCGTTATCAATAAACCCAC